TTGGCTGTTTCCAGAACATATCCCCCCACCGCCACCCCGCCCTTCCAGCCTCCCTGCTTTTGTTGATGCTTGGCCCTCTCCCTGGAATGCTTTTCCTGGCTCTATGTGTCCAGCCCTTGCCTGGGGGGCAGGGCTGAGCTCCTCTGTGAAGGCTTTTGTAGCTCCCCAACCTCTGCCAGCCAGAAGCCCCCAGGTCAGCCCCTTCCTAGGGCTCTGGACACATTCCACTGTGTTTGGAGCTGTCAGTCTTTGGGTCTCAGCTCCCAGCACACTGCCAGGTACACAGAGGGGCAGCTGAGTATAAGAACCTGTGTGCTCAAAGAGGAGAGGATGAGCGAGCGACTCCCAGAAGTGGGTGAGTAGAAGGATGGGGGGTGCACAGTAGCAGGGATGGGGTGGGTGATAAGGTGGGGGTGGAGGGATGGGGTGCACAGGTGGCTTTCAGGCCGCAGGGTTTACCTTGTGTTGCAAGCTGATGGCTCACTTCTTTCTCGGGAGAGATGGCAGCTCTGCCTGTGGCATAGTCCAGGCTTAGTGCCCCTGGCACAGGGGTAAAAATCCCCCTCCCTCACCCCCATGGAGAAGCATTCAGCCCTTGCAATGGGGGTCCAGGGTCTGCTCTGCCAGCCTATACCTTAGAGCCCAAGGCAACCGGGGTGTCAGGAAGGCCCCGCCCCAATGGCACTCCCTGTGGTGCAGGCGCCATAGAATCATCACGATGGCCTCAGGTCGTGGTGCCATTACCTTAAGGCAAGTCCACCCTCCCCCTGAGAAGCCGAGGTCTGAAGTCAGGGATGTGGTGGAGGGCTGCATTTCTGCTCTAACAAGCCTCCACATCCATTCTGCAGTATCTGTGCCCCCATGACACAATGGTGTGGGGCTCCCTCCCTACAGCCCTCCCAGCCCTACACAGCCTGTGGATGCAGCCCCTTCAAGCCACGCCCACCTCAAAGGCTACCTCACATTCATTGGAGGCTGCTCCTGGGACCCAAAGCACTCCCTGTGGGCTGGGTCTACACCCGGTCCATGTCTGTAACTCCTATGCTGGCTGCACCCTGAGCATCAGCTCCTCATCTGTCAGTGGGGACAGTATTACTTGCCCACTGGGCGGTGGAGAGGATAAGACACCACATTTGTGACAGCACCAGCCCCACAGAGCTGAGCACACAGTAGGTGCTGAACTGATGGTCGCTCCCATCCCTTTCTCTGTGCCTCTGTTGCTCCCATCTGTAGAGTTGTTGGCTGGGAAGGACCACAGGGACCTTGGCAGGCAGCTGCAGGCAGAGCGCATAGACCCTCAGGACCCCTGGCATGTCTGGTTCTGATGGGGCATGGCTCTGGCTCTGCCAGGGCTGCCTGCAGCATCCTTATCCCAGACCAGTCCTGATGGGGCAGTGTCCTGCCATCTGCTGCTACCACTGCTTCCACCTGGAGGCACAGGCCACTCCCATCAGGGTATCCTGGCCAGTTGCTTATTATACCCTAGCCTGCAGCTCAGCTCTGGGAAGTTCCAGGGGGCAGGGAGCAAGACAAGGCTGGGCCAACATACATGGGCACAGAACGGGAATCAGTGCACATGCATGTATTGGGGTACCTTGCCCAACACTGAGGTGAGGGGGTGCATGGACTGCATGCCCAGAAACCCCAAGATCATGCTTCTGTCCCACCCTTTGCCCCATGATTGAGACACCAGCCCTGCCCTCAAGGAAACTCTCAAACTCTCAGCCTGGAGCCAGGGGAGAAGGCCATAGCTGTGCAGGGAAACCCACCTCACAAGCCCATGGATGTCGCAGAGGACGGGTGGGGAAGGGTGGGGAAGGCTTCTCGGAGGGAGTGCCTAAGCAACAGGAGCTGATGTTCGCTAAATGACCAAATGAAGGAAAGGCATTCCAGGCCTAGGGAACAGCTGAAGCAAAGGCCTGAGGGCGTGGAAATTCCTGACAGGTTCAGAAACAGTCTCACTCCTGCAGATAACATGTGGAGCGTCTGCATGGGAGAGGCAGTTGAGTCCATGCTGGAAGAACCAAGCGCAGATCCTGTGTTTGAAAAACATGAATTAGATTGTCAGAGAGTTGGAAGGCAAGGAATCCCAGGAGGGGGACAGTCTGAACAAGGTGGGGGTAGGAGCAACTGTGCTGAGCGGAGAGTTGGCTGAGGCGGGAATACACAGACCTCAGGGAGAAGATGGTTGTGTGGATTGTGGTCCACCATCCAGCACTCTCCCAGAGTTGGGAAAAGCACGCAGCCCAGAGGAGTTTTTGCCCTCTGCTGCAGATACCTCCTGCCCTGCATGGGCCAGAGGGGAACAAAGGGATGAGCTGGATGCCCAGAGGAAGCCCCGCTCTCCAGCCTGGGTTCCCCCATCTCACGTTGGGGTGAACTTGGCACAAAGCCATTGCAGGCGAGCAAGAGGGGTGGCTTGTGTCCTATTTAGTGCCCAAAGAGGATTTCCTTCTGGTTTGGATGCATGGAAAAAGCACAGCATCTGGAAATAGGAAGTGGAACAATGTCTAAAACCCAGTTGTGGGCGGCTCGCCTTGGACCAGCCCCAGCAGGGCACGGCCCGGATTTGTGGCTGGGCTTCCATGGAACAGGCGTGTAGGGAGCTCTCCCGGGACCATTGTCTCTCGTGACTGTCTGAGCAGCTCTGCCTGGCCTGTGCCCTGCATGGGGCCTTGGTGCCCGTCATCTAGAACTGCTACCGCTGCCATCTTCCTGTCTTCTCCACGAGTCCCCGCTTGTCCCCTGCAGCTAGAGGGGTCTTCCTACATCACATATCTGACCCTGTCCCTTCCCTTCTTTAGGAGACGGGTCTCCACTGTCCCCAAGGTGGAGTCCAGGCTCTCTGGCCTGGCATCTGAGTCCATACTATCTGGCCTCTGACCTCCCTGCAGGCTCCTTGCCCAGTAGAGCCCAGCCCACCCCCAGCGTGATGAACACATCAACCACTCAGGGGCCTTCACAGGGATCAGTGCCCTTATCATGCTTTGGTGCCTCTGAGCTTGCCCTTCCTTGGCCTTCAGTGTGCGTCACCCCACTATCTTCTTTGGATGGTTCAGGGCTCAGGCAGGCCAGAGACTGAATGAAGTGAATACATCAATGTTGGTATAGCTGCCTGCCTGTGTCTCCACACTGCTACATGTCTCTCTAAGCTCACTACAGCCATCAAGCCCTCGGAAGCGTCTTGGGGCCCCCAGGCTGCCTTAGGCATCTCCTCTGTGCTGCCACAGCCCCGGTGTTTCCCTCCATGACAGTTCAATCGCGTTGCTTTGTGGGGGTATGCAGGTGTGCGTCTCCCACGTGGGCTCTGCACTCCTAGAGGGCAGGACCCGTGTGTGAGTTCTCTCTGCATTGTGGCACTCAGCACAGACTGGAGCCAATCTGTCAGTCTGTCCCAGTGAACAGCCTCACAACAGAAATTACACAATGTGCTGAACAGCCTTGAGCCAAGGCCATGAAAATCAGCCAGGTGGATCACAGGGTCTGAAATGAGCTCACAGTTCTCTCCAGGCACCAGCTCCTCCCCCTACTCCCCAGATGAGCCCCAGAGAACGGGTATAAAGAGCAGGCTTTGGGAGAGCCAGTCCTCAGGGAACACGGCTGCTCCCAGCTCATCCTGGGCCACCTGCTGCTGGGAGCCCACGCTGGCCCCTGGTTCAGAGGGGTGGGGTCCTGTGGGTCCTAATCTGGGTTAGGTGCTCATGGTTGGCTGTTCAGCCCTGGACCTGGGACATGAAATCATTGGCTCATGAGAGGGGGCCAGCCTCCTCCAGTCCCTTCCTCCTCAAGGGTCACCTGCCCTAGGAATGCTGAGGGCATAGCAGAGCCACCTGCCCTTTGGCATCAGACTTGGCCTGAGTCCTGTCATTGCCACGTCACAGCCCTGTGAACTTGGGCAGGTCACTTGACCACGTGAAGCCTCAATCTCTGAGATGGGGACATTGATGCCCTATATTTCACAGCTGTTGTGTGTCCAACACCCAGCGCCACACCTGGATGTAGCAGGCACCTGTCAGCATGGGTCTCCTCCTTCCACCCATGTGAACACATGGCCAGAACATCAGCCTGGCTGGGACAGGGACAGATGGGAAGACGCCGGAGGGAGGAGCTTGTCACACTAAAGGATCAGAGGCTGCTGCCCCAACTGGGCAGATTTTGAGCTGGATTTTGAAGGCTGAGGGAGGTTGCTGGGTGGCTGTGAGGGCTGAGGGAGGTTGGTGAGTGGCTGTGAAAGAGGGGACACTCCTTGCTGAGCGACTTGAATGAAAAAAGGCTGGCAATTGTCTGGCCAACTCCTGCTGCTGGTCTAGGGCATGGGGTGGGCCTAGGGAGAGGTGTGTAGGCTGTATTTGATCACAGAGGCACAGGATCTATGAAGGGCCCTTCGGTGTGCAAATGTGGCTCTTGTTCTGACAGCAGTTAGCCTTGACTCTGTGCTCCAGATGGACAAGCCCCACGTCATTCAGTGTCCTACCCCCTGGGGCCCTCAGCCTTGAGTGGCCTTGAGTGGCGGCCACGCTGTCTCAAGCTTGAAAACAAGGAAACAAAGCACAGAAGGGTCAAGAGCACGGCCCAATGCCTCTCCAGGGCCAAGCCCAATTCGGACCCACGCTGTGGGTCCGTCCACATCTCAGGCTGTCTGTGCCAGGACACCTGCCTCAGAGTCCTGATTCAGCCTGTGCTGTGGCCAGGGCTGCTCGGCACTTCCGATGACCCTGGGGAGGGGAGCCTTTCGGGCCTGGAACTGGAAAGGCCACCGTCTTCTCCAGCCCTCATGCCCCACTTCTAAGTCAGGGTGCTATTTTTCTGGACTTGCTGGGCCTTTCCAGATAAGGCCCGAACCCTGAGCACTTTGTGGTAGCTGATCCGGAGCTCCCAGAGGCTCGGGCAGGATGGGAGAGGCAGGGGTGCTGGGGCCAGGCGGGCCTGGGGGGCAAATTTCCATGCAGGGGTGGGGTGCCCACTGGGCTGGGAGTGCCCCTCACCAGCCTCTCCTGCAGTTTGAAGGCTGCAGCAAGGCCTTCTCGCGGCTGGAGAACCTCAAGATCCACCTGAGGAGCCACACGGGCGAGAAACCGTACCTGTGCCAGCACCCGGGCTGCCAGAAGGCCTTCAGCAACTCCAGCGACCGCGCCAAGCACCAGCGAACCCACCTAGACACGGTAGGCCCAGCAGGCGGAGGCCCAGCGCGGGGTGGAGGAGGCCACACACTTGCTGCTCATTCAGCGCAGAGCCCCTGCCTTGCCCTGTAACCCCACTGATGTTTAGGGCAGAACGATGCTGGGCAGAACGATGCTTGGCAGGACGGTGGGTTGGATGGCGTCCTCTGCATTCTAGGATGTTTAGCCATATCCCCGGCCTCTCTCCACTAGAAAGGAGCCGATGTTCCCACACCCAATCGCAACAATCAAAACTCTCTGATGCCAAATGTTCCTGGGGGTGAGGGGAGGCAAACCTGCCCCAGTTGAGGAGCACTGCTTTGGCCCATGGGTACCAGCCTGGGCTCCAGAGCCATGAAGAGCCTCATGGAGAGAGCGCACTCGCCCTCCTGCGTCCCCTCCCTGGGACCTGTCAGCAACGCCCGGAGCAGACTGCTCCCTGCTCCTCCTGTCCTCTCCACAGACACACACCAGAGGCTCTCCAGGGCAGTCCTTTGTCCCTTGAGCCCTGCAGGTGAGGAGCTGAGGTGGGCAGTGCCTAAGATTCCAGGCTCCTGCAGGTGACTCGGGCCTCCAGATGCTGGCTCCTTCCTACCTCCCTGCCCTTGTTTGCACCAGGCAGTAGATAACAGCAGCTTTATTCTAGTGTCTGCCCAGGCAGCCCCCCATGTGCCGTTAATAGAGCGCTTCCTAAAACTTCGCCCCCCAGGATATCATACCGACCCCTCACACTGAGCAGGGACAGTCACTAAGCCATTTGGCAGATGAGGGAAGCGGGCCTCCTGAAGCCAGTGCCTGCTCACCATCACACAGCTGGATGGTGGCACAGTCGACTCAGACCTGGGCTTTACACGGGGACCTGGGTGAGGGGCATGTGCCCCAGGAGGACCCCAGCCCCCATGTGCAGCAGAGCCACACCCAGGCCCAGGCCAGCTTCTCCATGATTCCTGCAGGTGTTTGGGGAACTCCATGGGTAGGGGGCCAGGAAATTTGAGTTCAGTTCACAGATGAGGAGGAAATGGGCCCAGGAGGGCAGCTAGCCCCTCCAGGGTAAATTGGAGACTGTAAAACAGCAGAGGTCAGAGCTGAAAGGGCACTTGTAGGCCTCTGATTCCAGCCATTTACCTTAGAGCCAGAAAAACCAAGACCCAGAAAAGATTCAGGGCACAGAAAACAGCAGAGAAGCAATGTTCTTGGGGCCAGGCCAGGCCCGGGGCAGGACACCCTGCACATCCAGCCCCACAGTCTCACACACACTGCCCCCAGTTTATCCTGGTGACCAGCCAGGGTGGGGCTGTTATCCCCATTTCATACATTGAGACCCAGAGAGACTGGACCATCTGTCCTGTCCACAGCAGGTGAGTGGCAGAGCTGGGACACAAACTCAGGCTGCGCCACTCACAGCCCACTGCCCTCTGTTAGAAAAGCTGGTGTGGCAGCCATCCTGGGGGGGTGCAGCCAGCACAGGGGTGAGGGGGGCAAGGAAGGGCCCCATCCCCAACCTGAACCCAACTCTCCTCCCCTTCCCAGCTTCATTGTCACATGCTGTGCTGCAGACATGAAGTGAGGAGTGGCACTAGCAAATCTCCCTGCCTTTGTCACCTTTTTAGCCCAAGGGGCCTGTGGCACCCTGGCCCAGGCCCTGAGAGGCACACTCTGTGCCCCAGCACCCCCGGTTATGCCTCCCAGAGGCCACAAGCCAGTGCCGACAGCGCCAGACCTCTCTACACCCTCTCCCTACCCTCCCAGGCCCTCTTCGGTGTCCCTCCTCCTTCCTCCCGCCCTCCTTACTGCATTCCCTGGACCCAGCCCCAAAGCAACAGGCCTTTGGCCCCACTTGGTGTGTGAACAGAGCCCCAAGGCCTAGGTCAGGTCGGGCCCAGAATGAGCCCGCAGGCTGATCTCAGGCCTTTGTCTCCCCAAGAGGTCCCAGGGAGGCTTGGGAGGCACAGCGGCCAAACCCAGCACCCCACTTGGATCCAGCTCCCCACAGAAATACTGCAGGCAGCTCCATGTTGCCAGCTTGCAGTCCCAACACCCTCCCCAGAGGCCCCTTGAGTCAGGCCCCTCACAGGGCAAGGCCTTGCTTTCCAGAGGTGACCAGCCATGTCCCCAGTCCCCTCTGGCATTGGAGAATGTGGGATTCTCTCCATGGGTGGGAAGGTTTCTTGGAACAGACTGGAGAGGCCCAGGCCACGGTTCTGATCGTGGCCCTTCCTCCTGGTCCTGGAGGTCTGAGGAAACCCCCAGCCTCCCTGGGCCTCCTCGGGCTTCCTCAAAGGTAAAACCCCTGCCTCAGACAGAGGGAGGCTCAGCTGAGGCAGCAGGTATGAGGCCCGCACTCGGACTAGGCAGCCTTCCCCTGCCTGTCATCTTACTGACTCAGTGCTGACCATATCCTGCCATGTCCCAGGCTCCCACTGTGGGGCTGGAGTCCTGACTGCACAGACCCCCTGAGCGGGCTCAAATAAGCTGCTGTCTTGCACAGGGCCTCGGCTTCCCCCCGGCATGATTCCCTCTCCCCTTGCCCACTTCACTGGACCATTCGAGGCCGCCGAGTAGAGGAAGCATTCCAGCAGAGGCCTGCACACGCTCCCTCCCTTCCCTCACTGTGGGATCTTGGGCAAAATAGGGTCCTCGGTTTCTTCTTCTACAAAGCAGGATGAGTCTCGTACAGTGGGTGTGGGGCTTGGGCAGAGGGTGGATGACCAGCGCTCGGCATGGCCTGCACAGGGGAGCGCTCCCGGCAGAGCTGCCCCCAAGCGCAGACGGGCAGAGGCAGGCAGGGGCTCTGTGCAGCAGACACGGAGCGTCCTCATCATGGACACAGGGAGGCCGCCGGTGCTGCAGCCCACATGGCAATTCCAGGCGGGGCATGGCTGCTGGCTGGGCACGGCCACACGGTTTCCTGAGGGCTCACGGGGTGCGGGGCCTGAGGAATGTTCTACACACATCAGGCACTGGAAAAACAAACACGGAGATGGGCCTTGCCGCCCACTTCCAGGCGAATGCGCTGCAGACACGGAGGCAGCTTGTTTGCTTTTAGACGAAAGCGAGTGGATTTGTATCAGCATCCCCAAGGGACAGTCCTGGGGCCGGCTCAGGGGCAGGGTAGGGCCCTGTGTGTGCCTGTGCACGTGCAGATGCATGTGTGTTTGTGTGTGTGTGTAGTGTATGTGTGTGGTGTGTATGTGGTGGGGTGTATGTGGTGTATGTGTGTGTGGGGTATGTGTGTGGTATGTGTGTGGTATGTGTGTGTGGTGTATGTGTGGTGGTGGTATGTGTGTGTAGTGTATGTGTGTGTTTGGTGTGTGTGTGTAGTGTGTGTGTGTGCAGTGCGGTGTGTGTAGTGTA